GTTTAAAACACTGTGCCATTGCTGCCACCATCCACGCATCACACTCAAGTCCACTGAGCCTGCTGAAGGCTGCCGTGAAGACTTTGCCAGGTTAAAGACTAATCACATATTCTCTTTCAGATTGTTCAGTTTGGCATGAATGAAAAGGTTGGGCAGATCTCCTTTGACCTTCCACGTCAGGGGGACATGGTATTGGAGAAGCCTTACAGTGAAGCCACTGCAAGACTAATAGATGATGAAGTACGAATACTTATTAATGAGGCTTACAAAAGAACAGTAGCTCTTCTCACAGAAAAGAAAGCTGATGTAGAGAAGGTAGGTGTGTTGTATGCATGATTCTCTACCCTGCCTTGCAGAAAAAGGCAAAAGTGCTAAGTGGACTGTTTTGGTGGGTGTGTTGACTTGAGAATTCCCTGTCCAGTCAACTTGTGGGTTCATTCATTTTGGTGTTTCACTGTCTACTCTGCTGTAGAAAAACAGTGAGAGGGAAAGTTAGGAATCCCCCTCACCCCAGGAAGGGTGGCTACACCATAATCCCTTCTCTATTCGCTCAGTATTTTGGGCACACATGCGCATGCACCTGGCATGATTTTCAGGCCACTGGGTCCGGAACTTGAATCATGGTCAGCCATGTGTAGTCTAGCACCCCACCACCATGCTATCTGCTGGCCCTAACAACAAATATTTTAAAATTTATTTGTGCAAAGAATGATGAATTGGATAGCACTCAGAAGAGGTTCAGAGATCTCCATTGCAGCATGAGCAATGGGCCTTTCTAAGCACATGGGAGCCAAATAAATAAATTACTTGATTGGCTCCTGCTAGGCATTAGCCTTATTTGGGCATGGTCTGTGGAGAGGTCCCATGTTATATAACCAATAAGTTGGTTGGCCATTGCTGACTGGCTGGAGCTCAATTCAGATGATTAATTACAAGAAATGCCTCTAAGTTAAATTTTGGTTTGTTTGTGTGAAGGTTTTAGGTACAGAGATAGCCAGGTGAATGGCCTCCTGCTCACTTTGCTTTAACAGTACATAAAAAAAAAAAAAAAAAAAAAAATTCTTCCTCATCTTCAAAGCAAGCATAGCATTGTGCATCTTGTACACATTGTGCATCTTGCTTTTTTCATTGAAATACGTATCTCTGAGATGTATATAGACTAAAGAGAGTTTCCTCACTCTATTACAGACACATGATGGTTCATCATGTAGATGTATCAGCAAGTGTTTATGTACACCATTATTGGTGGAGATTAGTGATTTTTTTATTAGGAAGTTTATTCTGTAAGAAAGAAAGGAAGAGAGAGGCACCCCCAACAGAGTCCTCATGCTGCTATTTCACTCTCGGTCTCAGTGCCAAGGAAGGTCACATGACATGAACCTGGGACCTTTCCCATGTCAGCTCAGTATTGCATCATATTACCTCTGTGCCATCAGCTGGCCCATTGTGGATTCCAGTATTCATCTTACATTAAGATTATCTTACCTTATATACGTCTTTTTTCAAATCCATTTTTTGAATGGGGTCTGCAGTAAATAAAAACATTAGTACATTTGGATAGATTTTGATGAATATTAAGTGTTCAGTGGATATTGTTCATTTTTCAGGTTGCTCTTCTATTATTAGAAAAAGAAGTACTAGATAAGAATGATATGGTTGAACTTCTGGGCCCTAGACCATTTGCAGAAAAGTCTACCTATGAAGAATTTGTGGAAGGCACTGGCAGCTTGGATGAGGACACTTCACTTCCGGAGGGCCTTAAGGACTGGAACAAAGAGCGAGAAAAAGAGAAAGAGGAGCCCTCCAGTGAGAAAGTTGTTAACCAGATGCAAGGAGGGAAGCTGTTTTAGTTCGTTCTCCTGCGGTTTCAGTTTGCACACTGTTTCAGCTCTAGCTTCCAGAGGAATGAGAACACTGCAAGTTGACCCAGCTGAAATGGCAAGGAGAGAGAGATGTACTTAGTCCTCAACCAAGAAGTCACAGTAGGGGTGGCAGGTGGCTTCCCAAGGCCCCAAGGGGGTTCACACTGTCCCACAGCTGGTCAGGCTCACAGGCAGTGGCTGGAGCAGTTGAGCTGGCGCCGCCCAAGGCTGGTCACTGGCACCATTGGTGAACCCTGGGCCAAATGGGTAGCAGGGGTGGTTCACCTGTGGAATCTTGACAGCACGGGAGAAGGACACTTTTCTTTTTAATCACCTACTCTTCATTCCTGTTTCTTTTTAGTTTCCCTCTGCAGACAGGCTATAAAGTTAAATTGGAATCCTGATAAGAATATTTGAATTTGACTTAATATTTTAAAGATAAAATCTGGATCACTTGTTTCTGTTTTAATGGAATGGTTTTCTACAAAGAGTTGTAACATATTTAAAAATTTGAATGTATTGTGTAAATATGGCTTCTTTACATCATAAATAAAATGTGAACACTGTAATTTTTTTTTTTTCTGGACACATAAAGGGCTGTTGTTTGTACCCCAGACACTTTTAGAAAACATAATGGCAAGGAATTCTGTATTCTTACTTTTAAAGGGGCATCCGCAGAAGTTCGGCCATGCCTGGTCCTCCTCAGCTGCCATAGTGTTGGCACCTTGTAGACGGAGCGTCCTGGAGCGAGGAGCTGAGCCCTGCACATGAACTGCGTGGGTCTCAATCAGAGAATCTGTGATAACCACACCAGTTTGGGGCCTCATAAGGCTGGTTGTGACCAGTGTGGATCACACCATCTGGGTCAAGAAGTTGATGCATAACTGAAGTAGACCTGGCAGGCTCTCACAGGCTGTCACCTGGATTTAAGAGAAGGGACAGTGGAGCTAAGCTAGGGTGTCTCTTGTGCCCTAGATCTCCCATGACATCTCAGATGTGGTCTGAGGGGTAAACTACTGCAGCTAGTAGTGCATGTGGTTCCAGAAGAGCCAGGGTCTTCACTGTGGCAAATCTAGATCAGAATGCTTATGAACAAGTGGCATGAGGAAACTGCTAAGTCTTTGAATGACATTATTTGAAATTGGAGGTATCAAGCAAATTTTCATTTTTATTCTTTATAATTTTCTTTGTTCTTGTTCTCTCTTTTCTTTCTTCGAAGTTTATTCCTTCTTCCATGAGAGAGGAACAGAGATGGGCACCCCCAACAAGGTCCTCGTACTGCAGTCCACCTCCAGTCTCAGCCAGCCTGTGTCACAGACACACGTGTGCTCACAGGGCGGTCCTGAGACATGAACCCAGGACTTTCCCCATGGGTCCAGTTGCATTACTGCCCTGCCACCTCCTGGCCCCATTTTTGCATGTTTAAAGTATTACCTTTTTAGCAGCCTCCTTTAATGTTATTCCAGCTTGCCTTGTGTGTGATGTGTAGGAACAGTGACTTCTGGCTTCAGACGTAGAATCTGGTGGCATCCCTGAACAATGTGGGTAGTCTTGTGCACTTCATCCCATGGCTACTCTGCTGGGTGGCCTAGAGATGCCTAGCAGTACCTTGGTGGTTGTCACAAGGGTGGTACCCTTGCTGGGCCATAGCAGCAGCTGTCTGGGCACCACAAACAGCATCGCAGGAGAATGGAAGCCCTCCCACCTTGATCCCCATGCCAGCCTCTCAGTGTTGGCCCCTGACCTGCAGAGTAACATTCACTACCTGTGTTCCTCATAGGGTGCTTTTGGAAGGTGATCCAGTGACAAATGGTCTCCTGTGAGACCCACTTAGTTACAGGGTGGTAAGTGTGCCATTCTTTACACAAGCAAAGACAATCAGAAGACACTCGTATTCACTCTGATCCTTGTGAGGAGAGGTTCCGGCGTGTGCCATTTCTGTCAGGCTTGGACTGTGAAGCCCCCTCCCCCCCCCCCCCTGGAGAGGGAAGAGCGACTGGTGCCAAATAGGAACCAGTCTCGAGTCAGTAAAAAAAAGACAAGCTGCGCATGAGGCAAATGGTTGGATGGTACCCACGTCACCTCTGCATTTCCGGTGAGGTGAGCTACACTTGGGCCCTGGGCCTTCCCTTGATGGCCAGGATGGTCTGGAAGGGTGACAACCCTGCAGCTATCACCTGCAGGAGAGGCTGTGATGAGGGTTGCCTTGCCCACAGCAGGCGCCTACACACTCCTCTGGTTCTTTCCTCCCAGGTCAAACAGTATATTCCAGAAGAGAGATGGGTGATGAGCTGATACCCTCATTTTTACTGTGGTTTCAGAATATTACGAAATGCAAAATGAGATCTGTGCTCACCTCTAATCAGGCGGCTGTTGAGTGATGAGTGTCTGCTAGAGGCTGAGGCGTAACACAAGACAGTTACTGAGCATAAGACCTGGGATGGCACCACAGGGATGTTCTGACTACTCTGTGGCTTCAAAGGACAAAGGTTTTATTCGTCAGACTCCTCATCCAACAAAGGCATGGGGAGTTTTGCTCAGCAGGGTATCTCAGGGACCCGAACCAATAGGAAAGGAAGCAGGGGCAGTACCGCCTCCATCTGGCAGTGCCATGGCATGCTCGTTCTTGTGGCTGAAGCAGTCAGGTTTACAGGTAATTTCACAAACTGGTGAACAGTGAGGTCGGTACCAATGGCTAGTTAAGCTAACCTGGTCGCATCCTGTGGAGTTCTGACTTTCCAGAGGACCTTTCACAGAAGTGAAGACGGGTTAGAATAGGAAAGCCCTCCCTCTGCCACGCTGGGCCTCACCAGTGCCCCGGTCCCACAGTCAAAGTGTTCATGGAAGGATCACAGCACCTTTCGGGCCGCACCTGTCAGGTCTCTGGCCCTGGATCTGATGCAGTGAGGTGATTTTTTGTGGATGCCCACGTGGTAGCTAAATAGGGAAAAAGCTTTCACTTAGGCTTGCACCACTTTCAAGCTCAGGCAAATTCTGGCTGCCAGCCTTAAAGCCTCCAGTTTGAAAAGCTCTTCTGTAATTTTAGTGAGCTGGAATGGAGGGAGGGAGCAGTTTAGAGTGACTAGAACAGCCTCTGTCACCATGCAGAGTAACTTACCAAGCAAGCACACGACTGGATGAGACAGGAGCAAATGTAATGTTTTATTATGAACAGGTTTGAAAGTTCCATAGTGCATATTCAAATAAGGCAACGCGGCATAGCTTCGGGTTTCATCACAAAGGATGAAAAAATACTGTTTCAAACACCCCTGCTTAATTCTCGGGTGGGATTGAACACTTAATGGCAGGTGAGTTTTCTCTCTTTATGGCTCTTGAGTTGCTTCTTGCAAGTCCTCTAGGTAGAAAATCTCCACAGGCTGATCTATCAATCACTGGGTAGAACTGCCAATTCTCCGTGATCCTAAAATACTGTCTTGATTCCAGACGACTGATAACACAACTTTGTTGCATGGTTGGGGGTGGCCTATGCCACTGTGCTTAGGCCAGCACACCATTCAGTGGCATTAGGGTAAGCTGCACCAGGGTTAAAGAAGGGGCATGTGTATTTTGGCAGGAACTCTGAAAGCCCCCCTACTCATTGATCTCTTCTTCATCATCTTCAAAAGCTTCTTCCCCATCATTGACGGTGGCCTCCTGGTACTGCTGGTACTCGGATACCAGGTCGTTCATGTTACTCTCGGCTTCTGTGAACTCCATCTCGTCCATGCCCTCGCCTGTGAACCAGTGCAGGAAGGCCTTGCGGCGGAACATGGCGGAAAACTGCTCAGAGATGCGCTTAAACAGCTCCTGGATGGCGGTGCTGTTGCCGATGAAGGTGGAAGACATCTTGAGGCCACGGGGCGGGATGTCGCACACAGCCACCTTGACGTTGTTGGGGATCCATTCCACGAAGTAGCTGCTGTTCTTGTTCTGGACAGCCAGCATCTGCTCGTCCACCTCCTTCATGGACATGGGGCCCCGGAAGACGGTGGCCACGGTCAGGTAGCGACCGTGTCTGGGGTCGCAGGCGGCCATCATGTTCTTGGCGTCGAACATCTGCTGGGTGAGCTCGGGCACCGTGAGTGCGCGGTACTGCTGGCTGCCCCGGCTGGTCAGGGGCGCGAAGCCGGGCATGAAGAAGTGCAGGCGCGGGAAGGGCACCATGTTCACCGCCAGCTTGCGCAGGTCGGCGTTGAGTTGGCCTGGGAAGCGCAGGGAGGTGGTGACTCCACTCATGGTGGCTGACACCAGGTGGTTGAGGTCCCCGTAGGTGGGTGTGGTCAGCTTCAGGGTGCGGAAGCAGATGTCGTACAGGGCCTCGTTGTCGATGCAGTAGGTCTCGTCCGTGTTTTCCACCAGCTGGTGCACCGACAGGGTGGCGTTGTAGGGCTCCACCACCGTGTCCGACACCTTGGGGGAGGGCATGACGCTGAAGGTGTTCATGATGCGGTCGGGGTACTCCTCGCGGATCTTGCTGATGAGCAGCGTGCCCATGCCGGAGCCCGTGCCGCCGCCCAGCGAGTGGGTGAGCTGGAAGCCCTGCAGGCAGTCGCAGTGCTCGCACTCCTTGCGCACCACGTCCAGCACCGAGTCCACCAGCTCGGCTCCCTCTGTGTAGTGCCCCTTTGCCCAGTTGTTCCCTGCGCCTGTTTGTCCTGCAACAAAGCAAAGGAGAGCCCCAAGCAGTTTTAATAGGGCAATGGAAATGAGGGCTTTGAAACCATTAGCGAATGCAGTGTTGGCCAAGTTAGGGGTCTGGGGGACCAGGCACATGGCCACACTGCTGTTGGGCATAGGAATTAGTACTTCTTATTTGTTTTTTAGAGAGAGATTTTTCCTATAGGATGCATGCACTGGCCAGAGAGAGAGACAGAAAACAAGAAATCACTCCCTAAGGAGGATGGCCACGCAGCAATGTCTTCTCCAGTCTCCTCTGGGGAATTTGGGCACTAGCATACACACGCCCAGTGTGAGTTTCAAGCCATTGGGTCCAGATCTCAAATCAGGGTGGACCATGTGGGAGCTCTAGTGACATAACCACTACACCATTTACTGGCCCCCCTTTATTATCACTATTAGAATTTTAATTTGCTATAGGACACACTCACCAGAGAGAGAGAGAGAGAGAGAGAGAGAGAAAGTGAGAAAACAAGTCACTGGGCCTGGGACTCCAACCACAGTTGGCAATGTGGGAGTCCAGTGCCCTAACCACCACGCCACCTGCTGGTCCCAGTACAACTTCTTTAGACAAGTCAAAACCATTCTCAATTTTTAAAGATGTGCTAGGAAACTTCAAAAAGTTTGTGGAAAAATGGAATTAACGTATGAGTTTATTTTGGTGCAAAAAATTTTGAAATGCATGCTTAGTTTTTCATAGCCTGCCTTTTCGATGAACTTTTGTAAGATCCTTTATTGCATTTTGACCTAGTAATTCCTGGGATCTTGGGCACGCACGCACACGTGCCTGGCGTGAGTTTTAAGCCACGGGTCCGGGACGTGAACCGTGGTCAACTACGTGGGAGTCCAGCGACATATCCATTCCGCTAATTGCTGGTCCCTTTATTTTTATTTTTTATTTTATTTTGTTGTTGTTGTTTTTTGGTTTTTGTTTTGTTTGTTTGTTTGTTTTGAGAGGTTTTTGCTATAGGGCACGTGCGCTCACCAGAAAGGCAGAGCGAGAAAGAGAGACAGAAAGCGAGAAATCACCCCCCAGGGGGGATGGCCATGCTGCAATCCCTTCTCCTCTATTCTCCTCTTGGGATCTTGTGAACACACTCACTCGTGCCTAGCTGAGTTTAAGCCACCAGGTCCGGGACTCAAACCACCATTAACTACATGGGAGTCCAGCAACATAGTCATTAAACCAACTGCTGGTCCCAACTAATGTATTTGTAACACAATCACAGGAATTTAAAAACCAATTTCAACTTATTCTATCTATTTATTTTTATTTCTGCTAAGGGCATGTGTGCTTACCAGAGAGAGACAGAGACAGAAAGAGAGGGAAAGTGAGAAATCATCCTGCATGGGAAATGGCCATGCCACAGTCCCTTCTCTTCCAGTCTCCTTGGGATTTGGTGTGCACGCACACGTACCTGGTGTGACTTTTCAAGCCACCAGATCCAGGACTCAAACTGCATAACCAGCCATGTGAAATCCAGCCAGCCTAACCTCCATGCCACCTGCTGGCCCTATTTCTGATTTTTATATAGATTCTACTGGATATATTTAACAAAATAGGATTTTGTCTTTAAAAGGAATCGGTTATAGTGTCCCTGGAAATTAAAATGATATAATTTACGGGAACCAGCAGTTAGCGTAATGGCTATGTCGCTGGTCTCCCACATAGTTGACTGTGGTTTGTGTCCCGGACCCGGTGGCTTAAAACTCACGCCCGGTGCGTGTGCTTGCGTGCCCAAGATCCCAAGAGGAGAATGGAGGAGAAGGGATTGCGGCGTGACCATCCCCCCTGGGGGGTGATTTTTCGCTTTCTGTCTCTATGTCTCTCTCTGTCTGTCTGGCGAGTGCATGCGGCCTATAGCAAAAATCTCTCCAAAAAAAAAAAAAAAAAGATATAATTTGCAACTTTTGAATTTATGAAGAAAAATTAGATTATCAACTCAAAAATGAATGAAAGTATGCAGTTTTAATACATTTCCAGTGCAATATGTGAAGGACATTAGTTACAATAATCTGAATGACCCTTGGTATTGTTTTCTGTGGTTTCAGTTATCCACAATCAACTGTGGTTTGCAAAAGGTGAATGCAATGCAGTAAAACATTTCGAGGCCCTGCTACAGTAGCACAGCACTGGATGCTGCTGTGTGGCAGGCTGATGCCACAGGGGATTCAATTTCTGGACCATTTCAGAAAAAACTTGGGCACAGCCCATCTCAATAAAATAGCTGGGTGCAGTGGCATCTGGCTAGAATCCCAGCTGGTAAAGAGTATGAGGCAAGGAATCTCTCCTTAGCGTAATGGCTATGTCACTGGACTCCCACATAGTTGAACGTGAAGAAGAGAATGGAGGAGAAGGGATTGCAGCGTGGCCATCCCCCCCGGGGGGTGATTTCTCGCTTTCTGTCCCTCTGTCTCTCTCTGTCTGTCTGGCGAGCGCACGTGCCCTATAGCAAAAACCTCTCAAAACAAAAACAAAAACAAAACAAAACAAAACACATTAGTTAGGACAGCAGGTGGTATGGTGGTTAAAGTGTTGAAATTTATGGCCAACCATTGTTCAAGTCCTGGACCTAGTGGCTTGAAAATCTTGCCAGGCATGTGTGCATACCCAAAATTTGAGGAGGAGAACAGAGAAGAAAGGATTGCAATGTAGTCATCCTTCTGGGAGGTGATTTGTCATTTCCTTCTCTCTGTCTTTCTCTGTCCCTCTCTGGCAAGCATCCTATGGGGGAAAAAATTTATTTATTTTTTTCAATAATTTAATTTAGCCAAGGGTGAGAATGATGAGACAAAGTTTGAAATTAATTCCGTTCCTCTTTTTCATTTTTCCATCTGAGATGGAAATACTGAAATAATAATAAATACTGAGAAATCTTGTTCACATGAACATGTAAATGGAGTGCGTGTGTGTTCGTGTATGGGATGAATTACATGCTAACAATGTCATTCAGTTCTTTATTTTATGCTGAGTCAATATGCCAAAAGTAGAAGTGCTCTATCATCAAAAGTATTTTTAGTCATCTGTCAGCTAATAACTCAAATTTGTAGAAAAGAGAATTGGAAATCACCTGACTTGCAAAGCAATGTGTAATAGCTTACATCAGTCATTCTTTTCTTCTGTTTCTGGAAGTATAACAAAAAGGCTTTACTGAGACAAACTTCTGTGCTCTCTCATGCGTTCACTTAAATGCAATTCGTTTATCCAGCAAACATGGAAAGAGTTGAGAAAATTGAACTAATTCTAACATTCTGATGATTAAAAAATTGGGGGCCAGCATGGTGGTGTGGTGGTTAGGGCAGCTGGATCCCACATGGCCAACTGCATAGTTTAAGTCCCAGACCTGGGGGCTTGGAAAATACACCAGGCACATGTGCCTGCATGCCCAAAATCTTGAGAAGAGGATAGAGAAGAGACTTCAGTGTGGCCATTCCCTTGGGGGGTAATTTTTCACTTTCTCTCTGTCTCCTCTCTCTCTGTATCTCTCTGGTAAGTGCACATGCCCTATAGCAAAAACTATATATATACTTATATATAAAATTTTAAGTGCGAGAAGGTGAAAGTGCATACACATGCAATATGGGTAGGGGAGCGTGGCCACGCCACAATCCTTCCTTTTTCTTCTAGCTCTCCTTTCCATCAGGATTCTGGGCATGCGTGGGCACATCTGGAGTGCAAAAGCCACCTGGGCCAAGGCTGGAACTCTGGTAAGCCATGTGGGATCCAGTGTCCTCTGCAGTGTCTAACTGCTATGCTATGGGATCAGCCTGACAATTTATTTTTCACTAGAGGGTGCATACACTCAACAGAGAGACAGAGAGGGAACGGCAAATGCGACCCCCAGGAAGAATGGTCACACCGCAATCCTTTCTCCTCTGTCTCTCCCTTCTTTCAGGATTTTGGGCATGCACACATACACCTGGCATGACCCACCATGTTTCTCAGACTGCTGGGGCCAGGCCTCAAACCGTGCTGGCGGCCAAGTAGGATCTGGCTGCCTTCACCCCCAGGGCATGAAGCTGGCCTGGACGATTTAATTTTTAATGAAATGTAAACATATTTTTATCAGATTCTTTAGTTTGCAAATTTAATTCATTCAAGTTACAGAAACTTGCACTGCGTTATACCGATCTTTCTCCACTCCTCCAAAGGCCTTAGTGACTTGACTGTCTATACACGGCTTGCAGCAGTAATTCTCAGCCGCTACCCACAGACCAGTGTCTCCCTGAGGCTGAGCGTACCCGTGTGTGTGTGTGCACGTGTGAGTGCACATGTACACAGCAAAAGGGTAGCAGGACACACACCAACTGTCTACAGCATTTTTTTAACTTCCTAGGGAATAAAGTCTCAGGAGCAATCAGTTAAAAGGATGAGAAGTTTCTATTTTTATACAGAATACTTGTGTGTTGCTTGGAAAAAAAAAAAACAAAAAACCTTTGCAAGCAGTTCATTCTAGCTTTGTAGACAGACTCGTTTAAATATGACACAGCGAGGTTTCCAGAGGGCAGAGCTGGCCATCTGGAACTGACCACAGTGGCCTGCACTTGTCCACAGCCTCAGCCTCCCAGATCTCTGGCCCAGGCCCATTTAGAGGAGTCTTGGCCTGCCTTTCCTGCTGTCTTTGCCCCACTTGGCTTGTCTAAGAGCGGCTATTGGTGCAGCTGGCACCCAGGCTCCATGGAAGGGCAGAAACAGCCTGCAGCACACCATGGGCGCAGGTCACGTCAGCCCTTATGGGTGGCCACTTCATTGTTCTGTTTTCCACAAGCCCCATATATTGTCTCGGATGTGACTTTTGTGAATGGGGAGATCCTCTTTCTTCCTCCCCGGTGATGCTGCAGTGAAACCTGCCTGGCTGCCTGTTTGTAGTAGCCTGGGAAATGGTTTTTGTCTTTCTTAAGCCGGCATGGACTCCTGTCCACCCACTGCCTTCCCATCAGGTGGCAGCCCGGACAGACCACAGTGTAGGCATTGGGG